ATCGTTACAAGAAAATGGAACAAAATTTGCCCCACAGGCTCCCTGGATGTTTTCATTCGATAAACCTAAGCTACTATCCTGTTTTCTATGATAGGCTGCAAAGGTTCTTGCCAAGAAATGTGCTGCTTTAACATTTTGGATCAAAATTTATTGATGCAGCAGGTGACAAGATCAGTAATTCAATGCTCAGAAAAGACTGGATAGATGGGAGTTGGGGCACGAAAGGAAAGATCTAAGCAGGCACTTATTTTTGGTATAGATATTCGTTAAGTTGTTGATCAATGACTTGCAGGTGTGACAAAATGCTGAAAAATCTGAGGTGACTAGTGACAGATCTTATAGATGACACAAGTACTGAGATAAGATTTACACAGGCAGCCTGATGTGGATCCAGAAACATGAGCAGAAACCATGACTGTCACTGACCCTTATCTTCTTTGAGCAGGACAACCACAGTGACATCTGTCTGGCAAGGACTCTGAACAAGCATGTTAGTTGAAGAAGTTGTTTCTGGATGCAAAACAGGCAATCTGGAGTATGATATTTCTGTTTTCAAATAAGCAGCTACTTTTTAACAGCTCCTGGGAATTCTAAACATCAGTCATTTACTGTTTTAAAGCATAAATACAGATATTTAAAAAAAAAAAAATAATTATCAAATAATTAATAATTTCAAAGCCACACAAGTTTTTTCAAGCTTTATTAACATGTTTCCCAGTTGCTGGGATTACCACTATCCTAGCACCATTGTCACTGAACATGAAGCTCAGTTCAACTGTGAAGAAAATTCAGTTGATAGAGCAGGAAAGTACTTACTGCAAATTTTACTTGGTATCATAACTAGTTCAAAGAATTGTCTGCATAAACGCTATTGACAGCTGTACTTGTCGCACCACACCCAGTTTCTCTTCTTTTTGTTTTCTGCATGTGTTGAGTGCTTACATCTCCTTGCTCTTGCAGGTCCAAGTCTACAACTCTTCCCTTTTAGTATTACTTTGTGCTAAAGAAAGTATTATAGTAGATGTTTTCTTGACAAATGAAGTAGATCACAGTGTGGTAAACAAGCTAGCCTCTGTCCCTCTCCTCCTCCTCCTCCCATTCCCAGCATGAAAATAGCTAGGGCTAAAGCAACAGCTGGGGATCATTACACTGACAGGAATAGTTCAGTAAACTCCAAGAGGGGAAAACATGTCATATCCAAAAGAACCAAAAACACATTAGGGCAGCAGGAATGAAAAAATATGTGAATTCAACTCCAGGGATAATGCTGTGACTCTCCTTCCACTGGTAACAAATGACTTAAAAAACCCTGGTCATTGAGTGTTAACCCTTTCCCTAAGCTTCTGATTCATGTTCTAAAATTAACAAATACCCTGAAACACCTCTATTCTTCACATTCAAATGACAAATTAAGCAAAAATAAATTTAAATTGCCATCTTACTGCCAAGTTCAAACTACCTCACATTAATATATCATTACCTTATCTTCACTGCACCTCTTACCTTTTAAGCATAGTCACAGTCACTGTGACACACATTTGCCAAGAGTGGTTGCAGCATGAAGCGACTGGGAATCTAACTATGTATGTCTGGTGTGACTCTGGATTTGCCACAAGACATGTCAGCATATTAGCTCCCCATACATTCAACACATTTTTTAATGTTTTTCTGTGTCACAGCACTATTTGCATAAATAATTCTGAATTGTGGGACATAACTGGCCGTAATTCAGAGATGCGCCTGTTACATTTTGTGACTGGTTTCTGATGTTCCTTACCCATGCATCTGCATGACGCATCTCTTTGACATCTCCCACATCATCTTCATGTACACTCCGAACTAGAGAGACAGAGATCAACCTGTACAAAAAATATCACCCTGAATTGCTGCGAGATGCCTGGGATGCAGGGGCTGCTGTCTCAGTGAGGATCTCCTTGGTGTTGAGAGCTTCCAAGTCTACACATGCAGGTTCTTCTGCCCTCTACTGGGTGAGGTATGGCCACCAACACCAACCAGCTGTACCTTCAGGGCCCAGAGGCCTTAGGACAATAAGGTCTAGACCACTTGTGAAGAAAGCCATATGTTAACAAGCACTTGCATGACTCCTGATCTCTTCAAAGTACTGAACAGATATTAATAGTTTAATCAAAGGCTAAGCTAACTCAAATTACCTCACATTTGCTGTGCACCAGGAATGTGCACACAGTTACCGCAGATCAGATGGCATGCAGGAACTTGTTCGTGTGTCTGGGCCCTGAGACGAATCTTGGAAAAAGACAGGTGAGTTTCACTGTCAGCCCCCAAGTCACATTGAACATTTCTGAAGGAAAGATTGCCAAAAAAACGTGTTTAGCATAAGAGCAATGAATGGAAGACATTGCACAGAGGCGGAAAAGCTGGAATTTACTTTTGGAAGTACTTAATTCTAAGCTAGACTCACATGAATGCTAATCAGTTTTTGAGTAGCTTTCTGTAATTTTGTAAAGCTTGTGATTCCCTCTTCATATCTTTCATGAGGGGTTACCACACTGTTGTGTTAACTAGTCTAGGAACTGCAAAGTGGGCTCTGGTATTTGAAAACTAAGTCATTCACATTCTTGAATAGAAAACATGTTTATGTATTGCTGAATCCTAGGAATTTTAGAAATAACTGCCCCAACATATACTTTGACTTCCTCATGTCAAATCCTTTCCTGTGTGGAAAGGGTCAGCATTTCTCAAACTTCAATGTCAAGTCCCAATTCAGAAAAATAAATAAATCTGTTTTAGGAGACCATCTGTTTTCCAGAGACAAGGAAACATTATGGAGTCTATTCCAGATAGCCACTTCTCATGAGGTTCATTAAGAGAACAGGTGTGAGCATTATGAGCATAATAAAGGCACCCCTTATTTGCTCTGCTTTACTAAGAGGAGAAAGCAGACTGGCACTTACTCACCTATGTGTGGTGAAGTACATTCATTTTCTGTCCTGGACAATAACAAAACTAAGCTGTTCCATTTTTAGGGTGACCAAAACTAAGGTACAACAGTTGTTAGAGTTTCAGCTCAATGCTAGTTCTAGATTTCCAGAGCTTCTGTAAGGTTTTACACGTGAGTGCATCTGCTTCTCCACTGCAAAATACAGTGCATGCTACAGCATACGAGGCATCTCGAGACCCCAGGAGACTTGAATGGAGCCGCAAATTTAAAGGGTCATTCTTTTCTCTTCTGACATGAAAGAAGCTGGCAGCATCTATTTCTCTTCCCTACTCTTCCTGTCTGGTAGCTAGTAGAAAGTAGCTTTCCTCAGCACATATGATATTAGAGTATAATGAATTAGATGTGGGGTAGGCTGATGATATTGCTAGACTTTGCAGAGTCAACACAGCTTTTTCAATAATCAGAATTACAGAAGACTTCAATTACCTTAATTCACTTCAACTTGAGATAGCAGCAAACATTTTTATATTGATTAAACTACTACAGAACTGCATTTTCCTTGTTCTACATGTTATCATACTGTAGAGCTTGTGATATTTAGAGACTGGATGAAAGATATATCCTGGCACATCCAAATGAAGAGTGCTCACCTTCTGTGAAAATCAATGCCTTGAAAATACAAGACAGCTGCAAGTTCTGGCTTTTTTATTTTGGTTTGTTTTTTTCCTCTGAAGATGGATGTGCTGCAGTACTTTGTCTCCAGAGTGATCTGGGAATACTGCCTATACTAATGGATTTATAACTCACAGACATGGCTTCAGTTTTCTTTTCCTTTTCTGTATTTGTTTGTACTTTTTGTCAAACCAGTGAAAAGAAGCAATAAAAATAGCAGTAATTTAAAAAATCTAGTAACAAGCTAACTCTTGATATATGTTAAAGAGGCTTGGTAGGGGAGTGACAATAGGGGGTGGAAATTTAACAGTTTTGTTTGGCAGCCTCAGCAGGCCTAGAGCTGCATGAGAGAAAAATCCTCTAAATGCAACTGCTAAAATCATCTTCCACACACTGGCCATCTTTCTACAACAAACATGGCCTTATTTTATCTGTTTTTTTGTCCTTAACTCCTACCACCCTTTACTTTTCTGTCCAAAATATCACTGACAATAATTTTCTACTCCTCTCAGATGACGTTACTCGCCTTGAAATCAGTCATCACCTTATTTCTGAGGCCACTGTCCTCAAGACCTTTGTTCACTTCTGCAAGTTCCTATTAAAATTTCACCTGTAGCTAGACAGATCCAGTATTTCTGATAAAATATAAATCTTGTTTGCCACTGGCATTTCGTTATATTTTACCATTCTCTAGTAATCTTTCCCTGGTCCTGTTTGTTGCTATTTATTATGCTGTGCACTATGATCACTGTCTGTTTTCATTTTCTCAATCTTTCAATCCCTCCAGATCATCTTCCTTCCTCACAGATATCACTCTCTAAAATCTGACCTCTATCTGTCTACATAATTTTTCAGAATTGTCAAACCCCCATAAAAAACCCCACATATATTTGCAGGAGAATCCCATTATCTAAACCAGAATCACATTTAGATATACACACTCCCCACTCCTTTCACACTCTCCAAACAACATACTGAAACTTAAAACATGATACTCTTATCTCCTTCAAGGCACAGTTATCACTCCAGAACAAGCCTTTACACCTTTAATAAATCAGCCTTAGAACACTGCTCACAAGAACCCTATCGACATAGAGGAGAGGAAGAGATTTAAACTCTGAAATTAAAACTTTCAAATGCAAGTGAAATTGTCCCAAGGTCCAGGCACTGTAAATCACTGCATACAGAGCTCCAGCCTTGCTCTGTGACACGCTTATGAGCACACTCAGGGACAACAGGTCACAGGAGTCAGTGGGAAACCCAAAATCTGGACTACTGCCCAGAAAAGAAAAAGCAGGCAGATTCAATATACAAGAGAGAAGAAAAAAAAAAAAAAAAAAAAAAAAAAAAAAACAACCCATACACCAATTATACAGTGCCTACAACAAAGAAAGCAGAGCCTGCTAACCTTCTCGTAAGCTGTGGTATGAATCCTGATATGTGCTTGAACAGCTCTTCCCTTGCTTTGACACAGTCTCTGCAAGCGGCACAATCCCGACATAGGCAGGCTGGAGTGTCTTGGCTTTATCCAACATATTAGAGGAAATCCCTGGACCTGAAGGCAGATTCTGCAACACAGGAGGCGTCCCAGGCTAGTGGAAGGGGTGCTTAATCCTCACAAGAGACCCTACCGCAATCCCTCTCTACAGTCACTGCACCAAGCGGTAGAGTGGGAAAAAAAATTAGTTTACTGCTAGATTCCAAGGCTGTGCTTGCATAGGAACAGAGAGATACTCAAGAAGCAGACAAATCCTGACAGCCAACATCTAAGGATTAAAATCAGCAAGGATTTTGGCAAAACTTTTCTTCCTACTATCTCAAAGCTCAGACAAAAACTTCACTGTTTCAGCAAGCGGCTATAGCATTCAGGATCCCAGTATGCAGAGCAGTGCTTATCAACAGATGCGTGGACTTCTTCGTGGGGCCACTTGCAGTAACAGCCAACCTCATTCACCCAAAATAGTGAACAGTTGGTTTCTCTACTCACACTACAGACACCTGCCAGACAGGCAATGTCATGTGATTGAGCACTACCCTCTCCCCCTGCACCTCCCCATGCACACAGCTAGGAGAACACCACCACTCTGAATGCAGAAGCCACACTGTTTTTTTTCCCTTCCTATTTCAACTATTAGAAATGGAATTTTAGTTGTGGAGAAAACTAAACTGATAATCTGAGAAACAGAGTTCTTATGTGCATTTGCTCTGAGATGACATATAGGTAACAGCAGGCAACTTGTGTACAAGCACACATTCTCAACTCTTCTTCCCTTAAATACTTTCTCGTAACCTAGTAGAAACACCTACCTGAAGATAATCTGCAGCCTCAATCAATAACCCTCTACTGCAAGTACTAAAACTTCAGAGTCTGTGCTTGTATGGAGGCAGTCATCTCACCTGCAGCTTAAGCTTATTTGATGCACATCATGAAAAGATGCCATAATGTTGACAAACTTTGGTTATACCTCCTGCCCAGCACGGTACTGAAATTGGAAGTGGACATGGAAAAGCATGCTCCATCTGAGCAACAGCCAGGAGGCACTCTCACCAGTATAGCTGGTGGCTTTGTTGGTTTTTAATCTCACAAAGCATGCATCATAAAAAGTGTAATGAAGTCTGAGGGAAAAAAGATGAATAGTAATCAGTGTCATCCTACAAGCCTAAAGCAAAGATAGCAGCCACATGGACATTACAAAAATGAGAAGGTGAATACTCTAAACCCTACTGAAACAATCTCCATTTCATATTCTGCACCCCCTCACCCCCAATCAAGACCAAAATTCCTCATCTCCAAATAGTTTGAGAGACATCCAAACCATTTAATAGAGCAAGGCTGGAGTAACAAGGGAAATACATCTCTAATAATGAAGCTTATATCTGAGAAAAGTGTCATTCAATCAGATTTAAGAAACATGACTTTACACTCTGCACAAAACATTCTAACATTTTTAAGTTACAAATTAAAACTAATATAAAGAATTTCAAATGTTTACTAAGTAATAATGCTAGATGGCATCAGTGACATTTCTGAGCACTTTCAACAGTACTTTTCTTCCTTTGAAATGTTCAACCTTCACTCAGAAAAGAATCCAAACTCTAAAATTCCTGTGGGTAAAAAAAAAATATCTTTGGTGATAATGTAAAGGTCCATAATAGCGTTATCCCTAAATAACTAGTGTATATTCAACACAAGCTCTCATCTTAAATTTAGGATTTGTAAAAGTCAGGTAAAGGTTCAGTTTCACAATGAACTTTGGCCAGTAAGGTCAAATTACTGCATAAATAGATGAGCCTGCTTTTGCATGAGCATTAGCGGTCATAACACCACAGAGAGCTGCTTCAGGAAGCTGACCTGGCAGGCTGTAAGAGTACTAAAGCCAGGACGAGCGAGAAGAGGAAGAAAAACACTGTCCAGATCTCCCCTTTCAGCAGCAGCACAGAACTGCACACTGAATTAGACCTCATACTCTGTACAGACAGGTCCCATAATTACTGTAAAAACTACAGAACAACTATCCTGTGCCAGACTGAGTCCTACTTTTGCTGGCAAGCAATATACCATCTAGATGGTGGAAATGACAAGATTCAGCTACAGTGGTCAAAGACTGCTATTACTTTGCCAGCCAGGGCCTCTGAGCTAGCAGCTCACTACCTGGGAAACATGAGCCAGTTGCTGCTCCATCCAGCTGATTTGCCAATACACAGGTATTGCCAAAACAGCCCTAAGATGTTGCCCAAGTTCTGAAGATGATGACTTTAAGACCTGAAAGAAAAGGGGCCCCAAGTAGCTAATAGTACATGAAATATATTGCCAGTTTTGGCAATCTGACGATATAACCAATCCTCTGCTGTTATAATTGACAACTCCAACTTGATGAAGGTTTGATCCTCTCAATGTATTCTTGCAGAGCTCTAGATATATATGCAACATTCCTTTCTTTCTCACCTACTATGTAGAAAACAGCTTGGAAAGAAAAACACTGGATTGATTCAATGATAAGCAGATGAATATTTTCTTTGCTGAGCAAGATATTCTAAAATTTTGTCCTACAGCATCAAATTTGTCCTACAATATTACTTAGTGTTCTAAAAGAGATCTGGAAGTCTGATCAATAATCACATGGACAGAAATATCAGTGCACTGTAAGAACAAGTAAGACCTGATGAGTAACTTTGACAGTTACTTTGGAAATCAGCAGGGTAGATGGGAATGTGTTTCACAGCAGAGGTAGGATTTCCAACAACAGTTTCAGTTGCTTAACCACTCCAGAAAAGTAGGATCATTACACACCAATGCATGTCCAACATTCAGTGTCGTGCACAAGCTTTACCCTGGAAACGGGAGCAGTGCTGTTGGCAGAAAGATCACCTTTACCAACAGGACATAGGCATTTCCACAGATTTCTGGTCTAGAAAACATCAGGCCCAATTTTCATAATCTGTTCATGAGACATATTGAGCCTTAAATCCTTTGACTTTCAAGTGTGAAATGAGATACAGACTGTGGGGATGTATTCTTCCTCAAGATGCTTCATTACTATTTATACCCTCATACAGAAATAAAAAGAAATATCAGGTGCACAAACAGCTTGCACAGATACTGCCACTAGTTCTGAGGCCTGGTTGGGCACAGAATGCAATTTGTATTTAAATGTCAGTTATCATTACTTGCTCACTACTTTGAATTAATTTTAATGAATTAATTAACTTTCTCTTATTTTTCTATCATTAAAAGCCAAGACAGCATACAAGCAGCAGCTTTTTCAAATTCCCATTCTGTGCTAGAAGAGAAATATGGAAGAGTGAACCACCTCCAAGTTAAGTTCTAACCCTGCTGTAAACATTTGACCTCTCAATTCCAGAAGCACACAAAAATTTACTTGTGCAAAATTAGCATCAGAATTGTAAGGTGCTACAGATTAAAGCTTGCTACACCAAAAGTATCACTCCCAGTTTACCTTCTGCCCTCCTCCCAGCCTTGCACTCTCAGCCTCCTTAATAACACTTCTGACATTCATTTGGTATCTTAATAAGGCAATTCAACCCACTAAACATCAATACCAACAGGTGGGATGAGCACCACAGCTGGTGGCCGGTGAACACTGCTGAGGAGAGAGGTGCTATACACCAGTCTTGACATAAGATAGATTTTGTATCAGCTCAGCTATAATACAGAACTGTATCGCTATTTTTATCAAAAAAAAAAAATTAATGTATTCTTTAAATTCAAATTAATGAGCAGATAGAAAATGTGTATTTTTTGCCTCCTTTCACCTCCAGTCCTCCCTGCAGCTCAATGCAGGTTCTCTGTCTTTCTTCTGCCAGTAATGTTCTAAGACAACACAATGTCTGCAAGGTTCTGCATGCACACAATTTAGTGATGAAATATAAACAATGTACTGCTAAACAGCTACAATATATGCTCACTCAGGAAACATGAGGAAGACCTCAGTTGAGGTCAAAGCCAGATGAACCCTCAGAAAGATTTGAAGATCTCTCTGATATTTCTAGCAAGCAGACAAAAGCTGGAAAAATAACAGAATTCTGCACCTACATCACTGCAAATCTTTGATGTCTTATGACTACTCATTTTATAATTCAAAATAAATACAGAATTCACACTGACACTTTTGTTGCTTTTTCTCAGCTAAGAATCACATTTATGTAATGTGAGTTTGCTTTGGATATTCCCAGGATCCTGCCTCCCACCAACAGTGACCTTCAGAAAGAGGCAGAAACTCCAAGCTGGGAGCACTGTACATTCTTGCTTCTCCAGTTCTCAGGAAGAGCCTGAAGTTTACATACTCTTATCTGTTCAACTAACTGGTGACAGCTAGTGATGCCAGTCAGCATTCAGAAAAGTCCTAGATATGACAGGTAGGCAAAGGTAAACCACCATGCAGACGTTAAAAAAAGGCAACAGTAACAAGCATGCCTGGGAACCTGGACCTTTGCCGTAGTTTTTGAGTGGCTCTCCAGTCCCCCAACCCACTCTGGGATATACCACCACCCACACTTTTGGCAAGTTGGCTGTCATTGAGCTGTAAATACTGTGAGTTGAAAGCATAAAAATAGCTGTTGCACAGGCTGGAAAACCTATCGGATGATGTCAAGGCCATTTTGAGCCCTCCCCTCCCCGCCCCC